GAGTAAGAAGACAACTCTGCGTATAATTTATTTAAGATAATTTTCATATGTTGCATAATTTAACTGCCCCAGTTTTTTTATCTAGCGTTTCTCATGTTATAATATTTATATAGGACAGTAGAATCAATATTAAACTTTCTTAAAATTAAATGTAAATTTTTCCTAATAATGTGACCTAAAAAGTTGCAGCAATTATCTTTTTTTGATAGTTAAACATAATTATTTGTTTCTCGTTACTTATAGAGTAGGAAGCTCACTCAAAGGAGGGGAAGAGTAGCTAAAGCTGCAGAACATTGGTAATTCATCATGGGTTTGGAATGAGATGTCTGAACTAACCTTTAAAACACATTTTCATTCTTCATGAGATGAAGTGTCTTGTTTCAACTCTCTTTTTTTTTTTTTTTATTTTTTTTTTTTTTTACAGGATGTGTATGAATAATTTTATATATAGTTTGCTTGCGTTGCTATTCAGAAATTGTGAAAAGTCTAAAAGAAAACAAGGTGTGCAGTGGTAAAATAGTCAGCTGTATGCCATTTTCTGTTGCTTAATTTTCATTTGTGGGAGTAACTATGGCATTATAGCATTACTTTATTGAAAATTATTTTTTATAATTGCCGAACTGTCGACAAGAGATAAATATAGTCATTAGAAGTGAGACATCAGAAAGACATTTCACAACTTTCATTAGCTTTTCATAGTTTTCCTCATGTACCTCATTTATGTTTATATATATATAGAGAGAGAGAGAGAAAGAGAGAGATGCATACTAATAAAAGGATAAAGAAAGGGTAAATTAGCAGTTAGCTGTAGAATATCCTGTTGTAAAATGATCACCCAGGTAAGAGTGGAAAATTCTTGTTGATAATAGAGAAGACCTCGTTTTGTGTTTATGCTCATCTGTACATTACTAAACAACTTCACTTCAGTATTCAGTGATATTTGAATAGAAAACTTCTTTCTCGAATGGCAGGTAAAAGGATAATACCTAGAAACTCTGTAAAAGTGAATATGAGGCAATTAAGCATAAAATAATTTTTACAGGAAAAAACTGATGCATATCTATATTTTAAAACAGTTACGCAAGGCAATAAATAGTCTTATCATAAAAAATAGAAAATCTGATAAATGAAATTAGTTTTAATGTAATTACAGTATCCCCTCCATTTATTCTTATTCCTCTGAAAAGTAATTCAGAGGATGAGTTTGTAACATTTGTTATCTTTTTTAAGTTTCAAAGTCAGTAAATGCAAAAAGTTTTTTAACATTGTTAAAAAAATAAATGAATCTGTGTCCCAACTTGACTACGTTTTTCATGATAATACTAGCCGCTTCCCTTACAAATTTTTTTGAAAAAAATTGCAAAAAATCATCACATTTTTTTTATTTTATTATTAAATACAACAAAACAAAACAAATCAAAATATGTAAGTTTTAAGTTGAATTTTTAATTTTTTGAAGGTGTAAAAGCATTTATTTTTAATATTAGTTTTACTATCCGAGTTAATCTGGGCAAACGAAAAAAAGTTAAATATTAATCTTTGTATGATAGTTTTTGAAACAAGGGACAACATAGAGTGATACCTGACGTTGTTCACTGGTATCTGGTCTTTTTCTTACTGGCTTACCGCTGGAATCTAATGGGAGCACAGAGTACACTGTCTCGTTGGATTTTTTTTTATTATATTATTATTATTATTATTATTCCCCCCCACACACACACACCTTTTCATAATCACTATCTGAAAAATCATTGCTTTCGCTATCTTCCATCGTCGCCTTTTTTTTTTTTTTTTTTTTTTTTTTTTTGTCCTCCACCTTTTCATAATCACTATCTGAAAAATCATTGTTTTCGCTATCTTCCATCATCGCCATTATTTTATTTTCTATTTTGTCATTACGTAGTAGAAAAGAAAAAAATCAAAAATTTCTATGCCATATAAACTGCAGTATCAAGATAAATTCCATTTAGAAATACAATTAAAATTATGGAAATTTGTGAAATTTTTCATATACATTAAAAGTTAAAAATAAAGCACAGCAAGTGAAAAAGAAAATATGCGGAAATTTTATACGTGATTAGAATGCAAATCAAAAACTGTTATAAAGAAAATTATACATTCGTAAATATTTCTCCAGTTTAATAAACAATTTTACGTACATACTGAAGGCGAAACTGATATAAATAAAATGTTCTTAATACTTCATATTAAGGTCAATTTTTACATGCATAGTAATTTCTCTTTAATTAGTTAATGCTATGTGGGTGGAAAGCAATTTGTAAAATAAATTCCTTTGTTAGGAATCTATTTGGAATAACAGTTTAGTTGGTAATATTTAACATATTAGTTTTATTTAAAAAAACTGTTTTGCTATGATTAGAAAGATATAAAAGTATAATTACTAATTAAAAGTGTAATTATTTCTTCATCTGAAAAGTGTAGATGAAAGTAGTCATGTACTGTAGGAAGCTTTCAAAGTCACTGAACACCACTGATCTACCTCAAATCATACATAATATCGATGATGATCTTAGCCCGCGACAGATAGCAACACTTGCAAGATGTACAGTATTATTTGACTATTTTCTGAAGAGCACTGCACTTAGTATGTATAACCATCCATTTTGCCTAGAATTTCACGTTTTGCTTCCTTGTATGATTTAAAGGAGGTTTTGTAATCTCGAAAATTGTTTGGTATCATATTTCAACGAAAATATCCATTCTTACCACTATCAAATGCAATTTAATAATATTTTTGCGTGATACCTGTGCATAAGGATAAAATAAAGGACTCTTTCCCCCCCCCAAATGGCATATAAAATTCAGAAGAGATTTGACAGATTCAGAAGAGATATTTTGATGAAGTCTGTGTTGTACGTATATATGTATGTCACATAACTCAAAAACCAGTAGCTTCAGAACTTTGAAATTTTGCACAGAAAAATCTGCCTTCTCGCCTACTGGCCGAATTGCTTGTTTTTGTGTAGAAACTCTAATTTTAATTGTAATTGTTTTTTTACTTGTTTTAACTGTATTTGGTGTTTTATATTTTTCAATTTGTAATAAAGGTATTTTGAAATTTTATATATTTTTGACTTTCCACTAAATGAGAATGGAATTAATTGAATGAGAAATATATCTCAAATGAAATTTGACAAAATAAGTTTAAATGAAATGCAGCAAAAAATGCATATAATTTAATATTCCATACAAGGAAGTCGTGGTGTACACATCAGATTTTTTTACTTACTGATCATGCATGAATTGTATGAAATATGGAAGTAAAGATTACTCAGACAGTAGACTTCACTACGAGTGACGATCTCCAATTGCCAGCTATTTTACATGCTAAGCTCCCAAGACTAGGTCTCCTTTTGTTTTTTTATTTTGCACTTAGCTACAGGAAAGTTTCTTGTGGCTTTGTATCTGTGGTAACCCCACCTGGAGATTATCTAAGGTGGTGGAAATAGTATGATAAATTTCATGCCGATGCCATCAAAAATAAAAAGTATCAGAGATCTACCTCGAATTCAAATTCCAGCAAGGGAGCTGGCTGCTTGAGACAGGTTTTTAGATTTTTCTCTCTCTGTGGTGTAATTATAAATTACTTTCCTTTATAAAACCCTCGAAGAATGCAGCCTTTCCCTTAGGTAGTATCCCTTGCATGCATTCCCTTAATCATATACGCAGACAAGCCATTTATTTCCTCTTTATCATCGCAAATTACAGTGCCTGCTGGTTTAAAGTGCTGTTTTTACTTCTTTGTGGAAAGTAAAAGAAGTATTGTAATCACAAAAAAGTTTGGGTACTGTATTTTAGTGGAAATGTTCATTTAGACTATTCCCGAATCCATTTAGATGATTTTGTTTTGAGTCACGGCTCCCTAGGGAATAAGCGCTAATCATGTAAGTGCCCTTCAAGCATAGGTAATGAAGCCATCCTACTGGGGGATCTGTATATGTGCACAGAATAAATGGCTCTTTTTTCCTAAATGGATCCTAAATTGGATTCAAAAGGAATTTTTCGTGATATCTGTGTGTGTATGTATTTCGCATAACTCAAAAACAATTAGCCGTAAAACAAAGTTTTGCCTGGGACTGCTAGAACATCTAATTGTGCACCTCCCTTTTTTATTACATTCGGAGTACTAAGCACATCCCACTATATAACATCCACTTACTCAGCCTTTATATTCGCAATCATTGGTCATACTTATACACTTCCAATTACAGAAGTGATTTAAATGAGGAAAATATTCATTTTTTTTTTTTTTTTTTTTGACAAATAATGAAATCTAACTTCTTTTAATGCAGTCTTCCAGTTCCTATACTTATATTTGGGGAAAGTTTTTATACTCATTATGAAAAAATAAAATATTTAAAAAGTTTGACTCCTGTATGACAAAAATTGATTGGGATATTTAATTTGAAAATTTGCAGATTTTGAAATCATTTTCAACTTGCCTTGCAGGATTGAGTAATTAAGTTTGAATAATTTGAGGAAATAAATTTAAATGAATTGCAGCAAAAAAATGTATATAATTTAGGCCATACAAATGAGTCATGTAGTATCCACATTAGATTTTTTTTAACTTCTCGTCCTGTTCATTCTCAATCAGAATTTCATCAAACTATAAAAATTTCTTTGATGATGATGATTCATTTTGTTGTAGAATATGATATTTGTTAATTGCGTGTGGTTTCCAATAACTCCTGCATATTATCTGAAACCAAGTCACTTCAAAGAGGGTTATTACTGGGAGTTATTGTTTTGCTATTAAATTTTATCCAAATATAAATTTATAACTTTAACTTCATGTTACATAAATGATATTTTTGCCCTCTATATATTCATAGAAAATTTGAATTTTCAAGTAACATATATTCAGTCTTTTTATTATTGCACATCATTTCTGTGGATAAGTAAATATCTCTCTATTTAAAACAGAGTAAGAAAGAATTTTATAGTACTTAGCTTACATTTTTTCCCTACATTTTTAGAATATCTGCTGAAAGTCATTAGTGAAGTAAAAAAACTTTTAAGAGAAAGAATAGAAAATTTTAAACCTGGAACTGGGCAATCTGTTGTTTCTGCTATTGACCCATTAAGCATGAAAAAAGGTAAGTAAACATTTTGTTGTCATGTAAATATATTTTATGTAAAGCTATTTAACAAAAATATAGCAATTCTAGTAGATAGTATTGTGTTTATCATATTATGTAAAGTAGTTTATTCCTGAAACATATTAATTTGTTACATAAGAGACATCCAGAGTCATTTAGATATGAGGAGAAGGGCATGTGATTATCTATCCATTAGTATAAGGGCATTTTTCCTCTATTAAGATGAAAGTATATGATGTCAGTGTTCTGCCTAACAGTTTTGAATGTGTCTAACAGCCCTGTCTCCACTCCTGATTTTAATCCATTATTTTTACTCGTGTACTTAAAGATGGGTTTCAAAAATTATTTTTTCTTTTTTCGTTCAACATCAGATTGGGTGGTAAAAACCACAAAGTAAGATAGATATTGGAAAATACTAAAGGTAATGAACACAAAAAGGAAATGTGTACAGTCAACACACTGTGTACGCATCAATCGTAGGCATGTATATGTTAGGTATATAAACATGAATTAAAGCTGCATTATACACGTATTTTTATAAAATTAATTTTAAGATAAGTCAAGCTTCTCAGTTGCTTATATTTCTGTTTTGCAAATAATTGCATGATTTTAATGGAATTTGTACTCTGAATTTCAAATTATTGCCTATCACATTATTGGCCAAGTGTATAAAATACCGAATATGTTTCAGCAATTATTTAAGAAATCCAAATTGTCTAAATGTTGAAATGTCAAGGTATATCATATAGACATGCCTGTATATCCACTTTCTGGAAGCTCAGAAATTTTGAAAATTGAATGATTAATAAATCTGAAAACATGTCGGGCAAGAACTGTAATATGTATGGAATTACAGCATCCGTAACTACTGAGTACTTTTCTCGTGACAATACTGACCACAAATACAAATATGCATGCATGATTTGAGCGGATCTTTTATTGCTTGTGAAGGAATGCTTTTATAGAAATGAGGGCCAGTTTCACCATTAGGTAAAACATCCAGAAGCATTTAGATATGATGTGCATCTTGTTCATAGGCAAAGAAACAACATTGTTAAATGTTTGTTAATCTACTAAATGACTATGATTATTTGAATGTTGTAAAGTCTTTCATGTAGCCAAAAGGTATCCCCTCCAAAAGGTATCATGAGTACAACAGGGTTCGTACGGTCCTTAAAAGTCCTTAGATTTTTCGGAATCGATTTTTGGTCCTTAAAAGTCCTTAATTTTGGCCAAAATCAGCAGAAGGTCCTTAATTTTAATCAACTGAAATTTCTGTCTCTTTTTTTCAATTGCCATTTTGAGTGTGAATTAGCATTTTAGAGGAATATTTTCGGCGATTCACTGGCATATATGGTTATGTTTTGAATGGGTTTATGGGTTATAATTTGTTTCTATTTCTAATATAATTGATGGGATACTTGAGTTTCTAAGCAAAAGTGAGATTAAGCATTTCGAAATTCATTTTTTCGAATAAGAGTTCTGAAACAACATTTCGCTTTTGGAGATATGAATTCTTTATTAAAAGGTTCTAAATTGGCGACTTATCACATTTTGGCGATTTTAAAGATCAGTTTCTATAAAAAAATTTTAATTCCGAGATCTGAGAATTTTGGACGATTTTTTTTAAAACATCCTAACATTGATAATTTCATTAAAATAGTTGTAATATACTGAAATTATATTTAAAAATAATATTAAAATAAAGCATTTTTAATTTTCGCCGTCATATTATAAAATTTCATTTTGGCAACTTAATACAATATTTTGACTCTGAAAAATAAAGAAGGTATAATGCTATAAAGCACAATTTACGGAAATGGCTCTTAGTAAAAGCAAAATTAGCTATGTAATTAGTTAAAAATATCTCTTTTTAATTGTTCATAGTAAAAGTTTTCCCATGTAATTGTCTCGGATATTCAAAATTCTCAGAATATGTATAAGTTTTCTCTATAAAATAAATTTTTTACCCTTTTTCCCTCCTTTTTTCCCAAAATATTTCTGGCTTTTTGCTGTTACTGCATTGGTAGGGGTAATTTTTCTTAGTATTTAGCCATGCAGCTTGGAAAGTTTAGAAGGATTGAAGGCAAGATTTGTAGCGCGTGATTCTAGAAGATTCGAGGAATATGTGACAAATTAAAATGGTCTCCATGGTATCAACACATAATGGTGTATTTTACTGAAAGTTGTGATGAATTTCTTACTTTTTTGAAGAACGTCTGGAAGAACAATGAAAAACTAATATTTGAATGTTTACTCCTGTACTAGAATCATTTTTCTTAACTGTTTACCTTGCCTTTATTTTCTCTACTTTTCGCTAGACACAAGCATGGAAAACATTCAAAAATGCTTTCAATCTTATCACGTGGACAGGCATTATAGAAAAGAATTTTTTTATTAATGCAGAAACTGAAAGCTTGTACAATTTAAAAGATTCATCTAATATGTTTTCAATGCATCATACACAGAACAGGTGCTAGGCATTTCCCACCTGATGCAAGTCAAAAGTCGTTAATCCGGACTCGTCGGGACTTCGGCGATTTCCGGATTATAGATCATCAGTTTAAATCTCGTAAGATGGCATGCAGAAATTCTAAAATTAAAAATATGAAACTTTAATTTATGAAATAAAGAACAATTATTCTAAAGGGTATCAAAATTTGCAAAAAAAAGCTTAATATTTATTTGTTTACTTTATTAAACATTTCTTTCAATGTAAGTTGTTTTAAGTTGCTTCATTTTTATGTGATAATACTTTCTCTTAATTCTATAAACAGACACAATTCTTGTTCAGTTACAAAGTTCCGCTGTTCGAGTCCCATTAATTGTTGTGCCGAGAATACCGACTAACTTGTCAATCGAAATTTTTTTTTTTCGTTTTCACTAACCTCTCTGTCACTTCTTCATGTCTTTATCCATTTTTGCAGCAGTTTTCACTTTTTTGTTGATGGACATCGAAACATACTTTCGTTTGTAAGATCCTTTGGAACTCCAGAATCGAAATTCTATTTGACATAATCGAAAGTTCAATTTTACTTTTTTATAAAATTGCTCTTACAGTCTGCAAAAAATAATAAGCTGGATCCAATTCGAAGATTAAGGAACAACGCAATCATCAACATTAACTGAAATAGATAATTAGATAATTTTAGATTATACCGTCCGTTATAAATAAAATGTGCAAGCGAAAACGTATTCTGCGCTTGCGCACACGCATATGCGCAGTGGTAAAAGGTCTTACGCGTACGCGTAAACGCCTATGTGCATGTGTCAACGCGGCGCATGGGCAGAAAGTTTTTAGCTTTGAGGTCCGGATTATGGGTGTCCAAATTAACGACTTTTGACTGTATGTTTTAATGCATCATACACAGAGCTGGCACTAGGCATTTTCCCACCTGATGCAATCTCTGTGGAGCCTAAATTCTGCTTCCAATGCCTGCTCTAAATTCTAAAAGTTTTGCCATTTCCAGATTTTGTTGTTTGGTGTGTCACTAAATTCTAAAAATTCTGCCACAGTAGCTCTGTAACCGGCCTTTACCATATGTATTTCTTCTGAATGTTTATATTACTAAAGAAATAAAATTAGCCATTTTCTATGCATTCTAAATGCATTTCATGTTTTTAAGAATAATGGAAATCTTTAATTAAATCCAAAAATTCTAAGATGAAAAGGAAACATGTTGAAGAAAGAAAATAATAAAGACAAAGAAAATTATTCTTCCAAGAAAATGTGCAGTTATTATTATGAAAATTACCCAATTGTTTATGATATTAGCCTTTACTATAATTTCCCATTTCTATTTCCTCATATGATAGAGTTACTGAGCCAGATTAAATTTAAATTAAATTGTATAATCTTTGACCACTAGTTCCACACTTTTAGGTTGAATTTGGCTGTTCTTGTTTAATTACGTCACTGCAAGCTGTAAATGATTTTAGCATTAGAACATGCCTTTGTATTCTAAGTTCTTTTTATATAAGAGGCTTATTTAAACCTTTGTCTGATGTTTTAGTTATTTTCAGACATAGCGATAGTTTGCTTCACATCAGTTGGGTTTTCAACTTTTTAACTTTTACCAGATCAAGTAAACCCTCATAGGTACGTTGTGGAGAGGTTGACAAGTTAGGAGATAAAGCAGTTAGGCTGATGCAGAAACTAGCGAGAGCAATGGTTTGCATTTTGAGACAAATTTCTAATTGTTAGAAAAGATGCTTAAAGAGAAGGAAATCGATATAAACTAGCCAAAATGTTTAGGAAGGCTTCAAATTAAAATGACAGATAAATATTTTGTTGAGTGTTGTTGTTACAAAACATAAATGTTTTGTAGCTTTTAATGTGTAATTATCCTAATATCGTTTTAGAATCAATGTTATAAAACTGTAAACTGTGAAATGTGATTAGATTTTGATTTTAATAGGGCTTTTTTAACAAATATTGTTAAAAAATAAAATTTAATTGTGGCCATGTAAATCCATAATGACTAAGGTTATCTAATTACCTAATTTAATTATTTATAACTAACTGCTTACCCTTAAAAATTATCTCTACGTATTAAAGTGAGTTATTGCCTTTCATTAATACTCACTGAGGTTACAAGATAAAACACAAAAACGTAAATATTCAAGTAAAACTTATTCTTTGAATCTAGTGAGACTTAAAATAATACAAAATTACTTATCATCTCTGGTTCTTTAATGGCTTATTGGAACCTTAAAGTATATTAACTGGGTTACAACCCCTGAACTCTACACGAAGCTACGACACTTAACTGCATCAAACAGAGCCCGACTAACTTTCAACAGTTGCGAACCTACATCAGGACACCTGCCTACATCAAGCCTTTTCAGGTTTGTTCTAATGAGCATGTCTTCTCTCTAGACAAGCAGCAGCAGTAACAACATTCAGTCTTTTGTTCTGAATCATGCTGATTATGATCTTACTTCTCATTTTAACCTATGCCGTTTGACATAAAATCTACCTGCTATTTACTCAACCT